GTGCTTTTTCCCCCTGAGCCATTTTACTTTCCTTTTTTTTTTTTTTTTTTGAGACAGGGTCTCACTCTTCATCCAGTGTTGACCTGGACCTCACTGTAACTCAGGTTGACCCCATACTTGAAGCAATCCTCCTGCCTCAGCCTCTCAAGTGCTGGGATTACAGGAATTTGCCACCACACATGGCTTTATTTATAATTATAAATTTCTCAAAGTGTTACAAAGGTAATCTAGAGGGTTTCTATATAGCCTTCTATCAGCCTCCCATGTCTTACTCACGCATGGTGTCACAACTAAGCAATGACATGTTTATACAGTGCTATTTAACTATAATAAAGACATTATAATTTTCCTTTTCTCTCTCCTTTTTTTTGAGACACGTCTCAATGTACAGCCCTGGCTGGCCTGGAACTTGCTGTGTAGACCAGCATGGCTTCAAACTTAGGGAAATTTGCCCACCTCTGCCTCCCAAGTGCTGAGATTAAAAGCATATGCCAGGGACTAAAGAGATGGCTCAGTGGTTAAGAGCACTAGCTGCTCTTGCAGAGGACCTGGGTTTGGTTCCCAGCACCCACAGGACACTAACTGTCCATAGCTCCAGTTCCAGGGGATCCAATGCCCTCTTCTGACTTCCTTGGGCATTGCAGGACATGGGTACGCTTACATACATGCAGGCGATACACTCACATAAAATTAAATAAATAAATAAATAATTTTTTTTTAAAGCACATGCCACCATGCTGGGGCCAGAATTTTTAAAATTACATTTGTTTGTGTGTTCACACGTGGGCATGCCACAGCATATGTATGGAAGTCAGAGGACAGCCTGTGAGAGCCAGTGCTCTCCTTCCACTGTAAGGGTTCCAGGGAGCGAATTCAGGTCATCTGGCAGTGCTTGCCTTCCCCTCCTGTGCTATCTCATCAGCCCCTCAGGTTTTTTTTTTTTTTTTTTCACTTTTTAAAAAAAATTTAATTTTATGTGTATTGTGTATTCGTGTATTGCCTGCATGTATGTAAGTGCACCCGTGTTGTGCAATGCCCAAGGAGGTCAGAAGAGGCTGTTGGATCCCCTGGGACGGGAGTTACAGATGGCTGTTAGCCACCATGTGGGTGCTGGCAAGAACAGTCAGTGCTCTTAACTGCTGAGCCATCTCTCCAGCCGTTTTTAAAAAATATTTTATTTTTTATTATTTTTATTTTGTGTGTATGAGCATATTGCCTGCATGTAGGTAGGTATACCCGTGTTGTGTAGTGCCACTGGAGGTCAGAAGATGATGTTGGAGCCCCTGGAGTTGCTGATGGTTGTTAGCCACCATGTGGGTGCTGGGAATCAAACCCGGGTCCTCTGCAAGAGCAGCCAGTTCTCTTAACCACTGAGCCATCTCTCCAGCTCCTGTTTTTGTTTTTTAGATAGGGTCTCCCTGTAGCCCCAGCTGGCCAGGAACTCACGATATAGACCAGGCTGGCCTCCATCTCACAGAGATCTGCCTGCCTCTTCCTCCCAAGTGCTGGGACTAAAAGCATGTGCCACCACGACCAGCACCTCTCTTGAGTTTTATACTCATCAACCTGAAGAAGTCTGTCTCTTAAGTTTGTAATGTCCACCTTGCCAGAGTACCAGCCCAGCCTTGGTCAACTCCCAGGATATGGTGTTTGGATGACTCAGTAAAGGAGCTTGATGGGCGTGGTGGCACATGCCTTTAATCCCAGCACTCTACAGGCAAAGACAGGTAGATCTCTGTGAGATTGAGGCCAGCCTGGTCTACATAGCAAGTTCCGGGCCAGCCAGGACTACACAGTGAGACCCAGTTTCAAAAAACCAAACCAAACAACAACAAAACAGGACCAAGTAAGTAAAAGTACTTGCTGCTAAACTTTAGGACCTGAGTTTGAACCCTGGGACACATGGTGAAAGGAGAGAACTGACTCCTGAAAATTGTTCTATGACCTCCACACACATACACATACACAAAATAAATAAAAGTGGGATAAAAATAAGTCCCACTGCCACTTTTTGATTGAGGAGACAGATTCTTTAATTAAATTAATAAATATATTTTTCGAGACAGGATCTCACCATGTAGCCCTGGCTAGGCTGGAACTCCGCAGACTAGGCTGGCCTGGATCTCACAGATACATCTGAGTATATTGCTTGCGTGTAGGTAGGTGCACCTATGTCATGCAATGCCGGAGGAAGTCAGAAGACATCAGATCCCCTGAAACTGGAATCACAGACGGTTGTTAGCTGCCACGTGTGCTGGGAATCAAACCCTGGTCCTCTGCAAGAGCAGTCAGTGCTCTTAACCGCTGAATCATCTCTCCAACCCGGAATCCTGGCTAATTTTTAAATAAAAAAAAATTGCGCGCGCGCGTGTGTGTGTGTGTGTGTGTGTGTGTGTCGGGGGTGTACACACGTGTTCCACAGCCTGGGTGTGGGGGGTCACAGGACAATTCTTAGGTGTCCGCTGTCTGCTTCCACTCTGGGTTCCAGGGATCAGGTCTGTGTGGCAGGTTTTTATACTTGTACTTTATTTAGAGTATTTGGATTCCAGGATGTCAGGCTTGTGAGCCCTTTTGCCTGCCCAAGGAGATATCTTTTCTCCTTATATCCCTGTGAAGGGGATCCCCAAGTCTAGCCAAGTAGGTAAAGCACCCAGGGAGCAAGTGAAAACAGTTTCCCTAGAGCGGCTGGTTTCAAGGTGCTAAGCGAGGTGGGGGGATCCGGAATCTGCTCTGTGTTTTGGTGACCATTTGATATGTTCCAGTAGTGTCCCAGCTGGGGATGAACTCAGGGGTGGAACTTGTGCTGCGCATGGCAGAGAGTGAGGCGCTTCGCGCTGCACAGCACCGTGGTGCTCTGAAAGCACCGCCAGGTCAGAGGATTGGGTTTTGTTCTAGGTCCTCCCATCATAAACCTTGGGCCACTGCCCACCGCCACCCCCATCCTATCTGAGCCCAGCTTCCCCATTGGCTTGGGTGTCTTTGAACCTCTGGTAATGCCCGTGGTTAACTTCATGCACTGCCACCAGGGGGCGCTAATCCCACTGTTGGTTGTGCCGTAGATCAAAATGGACACCTTGTGTTGTAGCCTGGTGATTGCGACCCAGGGAGTCTCACGTGGAAGGGTTTTGTAGACCAGTTTATAAAACAATAATTTTTCATTCCAAAGTAAGATGACGAATAAGTGAAGTGGTACCACTGGAAATTTTAGGTGGTCATTTTCGCTCAGAATCTCAGTTATGAGAAACAAGATATCCCGAAATGCACCACGATGTAATGGGATCGTCATCCACATTAGAGTCAGAGTTCAGGTCCCATAAAAGAGGTTCAGATGACTTTTCCTAAGAGTTTTCCTTTGCTGTTTATAGTTCGACCATGTAAACTCAGTACAGAAACACTGATGAGGGGATGGGTTAATGGTCTACATAATATCAAAATGTTTCAGGGCATAAAGAGGTGGCTCACGCCTCACTCTGAAGGCTCAGGTAGGATTGCTAAGAGTTCCAGGCCAACTCTAGGCCAAAACTGTCTGAAAAAAACAAAACAAAACAAAACCAAACCAAACCAAACAAACAAACAAAAAAAGTCTGGAATGGTAACACACCCCTTTAATCCCAGCACTCCGGAGGCAGAGGCAGGCAATTTCTGTGAGTTTGAGGCCAGCCTGGTCTACACAGCGAGTTCCAGGCCAGCTGGGGCTATGAGAAGACCCTGTCTCAAAACAAAACAAAACAAAAGAACAACAACCCCTTCCCCAATGTTTTGGTGACTAAATATGATTCAGTGTCACTGTTTGAACTGCATTATGTGAATGTCATGGCTGTTCCATGCTGTTTATGTAAGTAGTTAGGGTTTATGACACTGTTTAGAGACAGTCTTATGCAGTACAGTCTGGCCTCAAACCCTCTATGTAGCTGAGGATGACCTTGGACTTCTGTTTGGTTTTTTTGTTTTTATTTTTAAGTTTTTGGGATGGGGGGGTTGAGACCTGGAACTCACTATGTAGGTCAGGATGGCATCAAAATCATAGAGATCCATCTGCCTCTGCCTCCTGAGTACTGGGATTAGAGGATTAGAGGTGTGTGCCTTGGGCTTCTGAGGAAACAGGACTCACCATGTCATAATAGGGCACAGCACTGCCAGTGTCCCCCATCCCAGATGTTCTAGAGACCAGTCCTGACTGGTGGAGGGAAGGAGAGCAGCTAACGCTCTGTTCCAACCCACTAGGTAGCAGAAGCCAACCAACTTCCCATCCTCCTGCCTTCACCTCTCATATGCTAGGATGGCATTAGTTTACTAAGTGCTAAGGATGAAACCCAGAGCCTCTGCATGCTAGACAAGCACTCTACCAACTGAGCTACGTTCTAGGCATTTTAAATGAGGGCATGGTTGGATCCTTTCAGTGTCTAGATGCTGGTGTACCCGCCTCTTTTCTGACACAGGAGGATTCTCCAGGCAGAATCTTTGTGGCATACAGAGTCACGCAGTACCTCCAGGCAGTAGGAGATGGTTTGATTAGGGATAGCCTGACTAGTCAACAGCATTCCCTCATGTTCCTTAACCCAGTTCTGACCCTTTCCACCCATAGCTGTGCAGGTCTGACTCGCTGTGGGAGCAAATAGTTCTGATGGCCTGTGACACCATCACCTCCAACATGAGAGCCCTGGCGAAGGATGTGGGCTGGAGACACATGTTCTTCACCAACAAGATCCAGCTCCAGCAGCAGATCTGCAGGAAGAAGCAAAGGCAGGGAAAGCAGGGGGAGAAGACAGTGTAGGGCCAGCTTTCCACCAGAGGGGCAGGGTGCTGCTGCCGGCAGTCCAAACCTCATTCCCTCTTAAGAGCAAGTAGGTCTTGCTGATTGCAGGAGTCATTTGAAAGTCAGCCTTGTACACAAATGCAAATCTCCCCAGTGCCTTGCTTATGCCTGTGTCCTGTTCAGGTGAAGATTGGCCAGTTTCTAGGGCTTCAAGACAGGCAGCCTCTCAGGTCATCATCATCCCAATCCTGTTGTCTGCCTTACCCCCTGCCCTGCCCCACTCTGGGTAGAGCCACCCACTGTGTATAAAAAGCAATAAAGCATTGCTAGCAGCTTTGTGTTCTTGGTTTCAGACCAGGATTGCAGGCCGGCCTTGATCTTCTGAGTCTTCTGCTTCCACCTCCCAGTGTTTGGATTACAGGCATGTACCACCACCAGGCCTGGTTTATGCAGTGCTAGGGATTGAACACAGGGCTCCGTGAATGTCAGGCAACCACTTTACCCACTGACCCAACTCCCTGGCAGGTTTTTATTAATACCAACTTTATCTAGACATCTTTTAAAACCAGGCTTTTGAATATTTTCCTGGTTTCATGTTACCAGGGTCCCTCCCCTCCGTGGAATGGGAAGCTGAGTGTCTCCACTGGAAAATTCAAGGTACAGGTGCCCTGGGAAGTGCTTGAATGTTTGTCCAGATAAGTTTGGATTCAGGCCCTGTCCTTGTGGGTCCAGGGTGTCATCCCATTACTTGGACATCCTCTGACCTAGCACTGGAGGGTGGTTGGGAAAGTCCTTTTAAGAGCACAGGGAACCAAAGTGAACCACACTGTTGCCTTCAGTTAACATGGCCCAGAGGTGAAAATGATGCAGTTTCCAGGGTCTCAGGGAGCCCAGGCTGGCCTTGAATTCAGTGGCTGAGATTGGCTCTGAACTCCTGACCCTCCTGCCCTCACCTCCCAAGTGCTGGGTGGGGTTAGAGGTGTGAGCCGCCACACTCAACTTTGTTTTTTCTTTCTTTTTGGTCTTTTTGAGGCATCATTTCCTGTACCCCAGCTGGTCTGGAACTCACTATGTATACCAATCTGGCTTCGATCTCACAGAGATCCACCTGCCTTTGCCTCCCAAGTACTGGGACTAAAGGTGTGCACCACCACACCCAGCTTTTTTCTGTGTTTTAACATTTATTTATTGTGTGTGTATGTATATGTATGTAGGTGTGTGTGCTATGGCACATGTATGAAAGACAGAGGACAGTTTTCAGGAGTCTCTTCTCTCTTTCCACCTTGTGGATCCTGGAGATTGAACTCAAGTCACCTTTGCCCTCTGAGCTATCTTACCTGTCCTCACTTTATTATTTATTATTTTTATTTTATGTGTATGAGTGTATTGCTTGCATGTATTTAAGTGCACCCATGTCGAGTGCAATGCTTGTGGAGGTCAGAAGAGGGCATCGGATCCCCTGGAAATAGAGTTACAGATGGTTCTTAGCCACCATGCGGTTGCTGGGAATCGAATGGACCCAGGGTCTTCTGAGAGAGCAGCTGGTGCTCTTAACTGCTGGCTGAGTCACCTCTACAGCCCCCCAGGACCTCACTTTTAGTTGTCCTGTGATTGTGTGGGTTTGGGTTTGTGTGGAACCCAGAAGACAACTTGATTGAGGCTTCTCTTTAGGCACAGCTGACTTTTGGTTTGGTTTGGTTTGGTTTGGTTTTGAGACTCACTGATGAAGCTAGGCTTGCTGGCCTGTGAGTCCCAGGGATCTGCCCCTCTTTGTCTCCCCAGTGCTGGGATTACAAGCACACCATCATACCCCAAATTTTACATGAGTGCTGCTGGCTTTCTGAGCTCAGATCCTCATGCTTGAATGGTAAGCACTTGACCAACTGAGCTATCTCCTCCAGCTTGGCTCAGATATTTTTAACAACTTAAACTCATTAATATTACACCAGATTTTTTTTTGTGTGGGTGTGTGCTAAGGATTGAATTCAGGGCCTTACGCATGCTAAGACTGCATTCTATCACAGAGCTGCCTCTGGAGCTCACAAATCAGATTTTAACCCTCATCTATTTATTTCAAACTCTGTCAACCTTGGTCTGGGGAGGTAGCTTAGTTCGTAGAGTGCTGGCCTTGCATGCATGAAGCCCTGGATTCAGTCTCTAGTACTGAATAACGCAGATGTGGTGACCCAGGCCTGTAACACAACACCTGGGAGGTAGAGGCAGGAACATGAGAAGTTCAAGGTCATCCTCGACTATATAGTGAGTTCCAGGTCAGCCTGGATATGAGACCCTAACTCAGAATATTAAAATTAAATTAAACTAATAAAATTTGAAAAAGAAATTCAGTGACTTTGCCCCAATTTGAGACTCTTAAGCTAACCTGCTGCTTCCTGTTGGAGGCCTACCTGGGCTTGGTTTCCAGTGGCATCTGTACAGTCCAGCGCCATTTGCCTCCTGTCTGATAAGGACCAGCTCCACAGCACATAGCAAAAATTTCTTTGTCAAAAAACCCAGGCCAGGGCCGGGGCTGGTAAGATGGCTTGCATAAGTCTAGTGACCCGATTTGATCCCCAAACCCACATGGCGGAAGGAGAACCACACACAGTTTTTCAAAGAAAAATTCAGGCCGCAGTCTCCATTATGGGCAGTGCTGTGCAGGGTGGCTGTGGTAGCTTGGGCATAGGCAGTAGGTGCTGCGAGGCTCCTGCTGTTCCTAGGCTTTCACATCACTCGGACTGGTTCCCGGTGGGAGCATACAGGGTGGATACCCTGCGTGCACAGACACCACTGCGGTTCAGTCCTTCACGTAACTGGGTAAATGCAATGTACTTGTAGCATTGCTGCCAATGGCCTCAGCCCAGAGCTTCATGTGCAGTGTCTGAACAGACCAGGATTCTGAACACTTGTGCACATGCATGCTCTTCTAGATTCAACATGAGTCAATAAACACAAAGGTGTTCGTTGGAAAAATTTTTATTTTTAATTATGTGTCTTTGTCTGAGTGTGGGTATATGTCCTTGAGGACAGGTGTCCGAGGAGGCCAGGAGAGGGTGTCAGATCCCCTGGACTTGGTGGTTGTGAGCCACCATCTATGTGGGAGCTGGGATCTAAACTTGGGTCCTCTGCAAGAGTAATATGTGCTTTTAACCATTGAGCTGTTTCTCCAACCCCACTTTGTTGTTTTTAAAACATCTACAACTGTTACAATATTATTATGTTATTGTTATTGTGTGTGTCTATGATGCAGGGGTGGACATGTGCCATAATGCACATGTATGGTTAGAGGTCAACTTTGTGGGGCCAGTTTTCTCCTTCTGCCTTTATATAGGTTCCAGGATTGAAGTCAGATTGCCACACTTGAAAGACAAGCTCCCTTACCTGCTGAGCCATCTGGCCAGCTCCTTGTTTGTTTGTTTGTTTTTGTTTATTTTTGAGACAGGGTCTCCCTGTAGCCCCAGCTGGCCTGGGATTTTATTTTATTTAAAAAAATATTTTATTTATTTTTATGTTCTGTGTATGAGTGTTTTGCCTGTAGGTGCACCATGTACATGCAATACCCATGGAGGTGCATGCAGTACCCATGGAGGCCGCAAGAGGGAATCAGCTCCCTGGAACTGAAGTTAAGGATGGTTGTTAGCTGCCATTTGGGTGCTGGGAACTGAACCCAGATCTTCTGGAAGAACAGCCAATGCTCTTAACTGCTGAGCCATCTCTCCAGCCCCTCTTCTGTTTTGTTTTTTGAGACAGGATCTGATGTACCTAAGGTTGGTTTTGAACTCCTGATCCCCCTGCCTCGACCTCCTCAAGTGCTAGAATTACAAGCATTCACCACCACTCAGCCTAGAAACACTACTTACAATATTACAGCATGACATGATATATCACTATTCCATATGTGTAATAAAAAACAAAGCATAAAAATAGATGTTGAAGCCAGGCATGGTGGCACACGCCTTTAATCCCAGCACTTGGGAGACAGAGGAAGGTGAATCTCTGTGAGTTCAAGGCCAGCCTGGTCTACATAGTGAGTTACAGGACAGCTGGGGCTACAGGGAGACCCTGCTTCAAAAAGACCAAAAAATAAAAAAATAAAATAAAATAGATGTCAAAGGTAAATAACAAAAGGAGTTAGGATGGGTACTAATGTTAAATAAGTTAATATAGGTGACTGCTTCAATTCAATGATTACTTCTCATAGTAATTTGAGTGCCTGAATACTTGACTATAATTAATCTTACTAAGATATGAAAAGCATTATCAACCTAACATCCTGAATGTCATCAGCATCCTTTACATTTATTACTTTTCATTTCATTTTTATTATTCTTTTTAGATTTAAAAAGACATTTTATTGTTTTTATGTTTTGTGAGGGTACTGCCATGTGCTGCAGTGCCCTCAGAGGTCAGAAAAGGGCATCAGATTCCCCTGAAACTGGAATTATGGACAGTTGTTAGTTGCCATATGGATGCTGGCAATCGAACCCAGGTCCAATACAAGAGCAGCCAGCAACACAAACCACTGAGCCATCGCTCCAGCCCCTACTTTTTAGTTTTTTTTGAGACAGGGTCTCCCTGTAGCCACATTGGCCTGGAACTTATTATGTAGACCAGGATGGCCTAGTTCTCACAGAGATCCGCCTGTCTCTGCCTCCTGAGTGCTGGGATTAAAGGCAGGCACTACCACACCCAGCTATTTTTATTTTTGTGGAAAAAGAAATGCAGTGTAGTCTCACATACACAGTTCTGCCTGTCACAACCTTGAAGCACAGAGCACCTAATCAGGATCTGTGTGTTACCACATATGGGAGACAAAGAAACAGAACTGGACATGGGGTATAAAAGGCTAAGCTTTTCTTTGTTCAGGGACTTGCTTTACAGAAATATATCTCTCTGGGTCACTGTACAGGTACAATAAACTGCCTCCTGTTTGTTTTAGCCTTTGGGGTCCTGTTTTCCTCTACTCTAGGCCTGCAATATGGCAGTTCTCTCCTTCCACCATGTGAGTCCTGGGGATTGAACTCAGGTTGTCAGGCTTGAAGGCAAGCACCCTTACCTGATGAGCCATCTCGTCTGCCCATCACCAGCATCCTTTGATGTTGAAATGATTTTCTGATTTTTC